TATATATATATATATATATATATATATATATATATATATATATATGTATCACATTTATCACCTGCTAACACTAATGCATATATTTGTATCCTACACTTTGCATCATATATATATACATATGTACATATATATACATATATATACATATATATACATATACATACATATACATATACATATACATATATATGTACCTTTACACACACACACACATATATAGATGTATATATATGTATATATATATATATATATATATATATATATATATATATATATATATATATATATATATTAGAATCGTTAAATTGGCAGTTATAAAGCCACTCCCACATACAGATAAAAAAAACATATTTATAAACACTAATATTAAATGTGTTGCTAAGCACCAACAGCGGCGCAGCTTTCCCCGTTCGCCGCGGAAATGAAAACAATAGACGGTCGTGATCCACGCGCGTTCGGAAGCACGTAGAGGCGTTTACCTTGACCCGATAAAATGCTTAGCAATTCGTTAAAGTCTACTAATTGAAGTGGAAGACCGGACGGGGAAGTTCATGATGGTGGTAGCGATGTTTGTTATATGATGGTCACGTATTTTTTTCTCTCTTCTTCTTTTCTTTATATTTCGTCGGTTGGGGTCAAATATCATCCGCGGACTCTGTTTCTGTGGCTTGTGGTTTGTGGTCTGTGGTCCGTCTGTGTGTTCTTCGCCTCCTCTTTACTCTTTGTCGCTGGTAAGCATATTCGTTGCTGTTATCTTGGTTTATGGGGGCGTCAGTTTTTAATGTTTTTGATTTGTTCTTTTAATGTGTTTCATTTCATACATTTATTGTGAATGAGGGAGAGAGAGAGTGGAAGAGAGAGGGAGGGAGTGGAAGAGAGAGAGAGAGAGTGGGAGAGAGAGAGATTGGAAGAGAGAGGGAGGGAGTGGAAGAGAGAGAGAGAGAGTGGGAGAGAGAGAGAGATTGGAAGAGAGAGAGAGTGCAAAAGAGAGAGAGAGAGTGGAAGAGAGAGGGAGGGACTGGAAGAGAAAGAGAGAGTGGAAGAGAGAGAAAAAAGTGGATGAGAGAGAGTAGAAGAGAGAGAGAGAGGGAGAATGGAAGAGAGAGGGAGGGAGTGGAAGAGAGAGAGAGGGAGAGAAGGAGAGAGAGAGGTGGTGAGGAGAATGATATATGGTGAGGAGCAGAGAGAGAGAGAGACAGACAGACAGACAGAAAGAGAGGAGAGAGAGTAATAATCATTAAAAAAATCAAGTATTCCATTTGTTACAATGGATGTTCTTGGTGTGACAAGCTGTTTTATTTTTGCTCTAAAATTATTCCCTTTGCGCAAGGAATGGTCGGGGTTACCCGCCACTGGCGGCGAGTGATTTGAACCCTGGTCGGCAAGATTGCTAGGTGAGACCGCTACCGCTACACCAGAGAGAGAGGGGGGGAGGGAGAGGGAGAGAAGGAGAGAGAGAGGGAGAGAAGGAGAGAGAGAGGGAGAGAAGGAGAGAGAGAGGGAGAGATGGAGAGAGAGAAAGGGAGAGAAGGAGAGAGGGAGGTAGAGAAGGAGAAAGAGAGGGAGAGAGAGAAAGAGGGAGAGAAGGAGAGAGAGAGAGGGGGGGAGAGAAGGAGAGAGAGAGAGAGAGAGAGAGAGAGAGAGAGAGAGAGAGAGAGAGAGAGAGAGGGAGAGGAGAGAGAGGGGGGGGGGAGAAGGAGAGAGAGAGGGAGAGAAGCAGAGAGAGAAGGGGAGTAGGAGAGAGAGAGGGAGAGTAGGAGAGAGAGAGGGGAGAGAAGGAGAGAGAGAGGGGGAGAAGGAGAGAGAGAGAGAGGAGAGAAAAGGAGAGAGAGAGAGAGAGAGAGAGAGAAAAAAAAAGAGAGAGAGAGAGAGAGAGAGAGAGAGAGAGAGAGAGAGAGAGAGAGAGAGAGAGAGAGAGAGAGAGAGAGAGAGAGAGAGAGAATTATCTATCAACTGTCTACCTTCCAATCTATTCATATATGTATACATGTGCGTTTGCCTGTCTCTCCGGCCCCGTTGCTATATATCAAAAACTGCTTAGGCAATGTCCGATTTCACTCACTCTTGACTTAATGCGCGTTCAAGTGTCAACTCATTAATGTACTTAAAGTTGAATTAACATTGCAAAGCAAAGCTAATGAAGCGAAAATTTGAGCGTCACCACGTGTTACCACAAATACCCTTGGTAATAAACAACACGGGACTCATTAAGAAATGGATCAATAGAAATTTAGAAAATAAGAAAAAGAAAAAAAGAAAGAAATGGCGGAGGATTTTATGACGAGTGAAACCCGATCGCGGAAAGTGATATGTTATAGGCCTATAAAGTTTAAATTGATTGAGGGTTTGATGCAACATGAGAAGGTGTAATCTACTTACTGTGTGTCCTTGCGCCTTGAAAAGATATATATGTTTAAAAAAGATATAAATAAAAATGAATATCTTCACAATACAAGAGAGAGGTATTTAACCGGTTTTCGATTATATCACGTATTTCTGA